TAATCGTACCCTCAAGTGAGTACTTCGTCCCCTCAGACACGTGAACGGTCGTTCACTTAGAGTTTGTATACTCTTGGAAGTCAACTTCCTCTGCACAAGGTGCTGTGTGACCCGTCACACTACATATTTGTAGTTGTACCAGGATTCACTGGAGCATTCGCAAACTCACAACGTCTAAAAATAATTAAAGAAGTTTGTAAATTAAAAATAATATTATATTTTAATATTCGCCCATTCATGGAGATTTCTTTTATAGACATATTTTTCAATGCTGTTCAGGATCCTACCAATTCGACCTAAACTAACGAAAGTCTTCGTACTGATCTGAGGGAACTGTTGAAGGAGATTGATGAATTTAATGCCGACGTGTCAGCTGTTAGCGTTGCAGATGGAACGGTCTAATAGATCGCATGGATTCCATAAATATTCACGTTAGCTTGAAATTTTTGATGCATAAAAATAGTTAACATGAGTTGGTTTGAATCACTCACAACTGTTTGACAAGCATGGAGACTGTGGCGCTTGAATGGATCAGCTCGGTGGGTGTGAAGCCTCAAGATGTGGTGCATTTCGTGCAGCAGCTCAACAATGTTCCAAAGGATGCGGTCTGTGAAATAGGCGAAATTTTCTCTCGCAGATGTCGCACTACTTTCCAAAAACCCGGAAACCAACATGAGCGAAGAAATCGAAATGAAATCCACTTGACCTGTGAACCACGAGTAGCAGAGTTTCTCTGCAAGAAGTTCAGGTAAGATTGTGACTTCTGTCGGATACACTGGAGAGTTAACAGCATTAACTGTGTGGCTTGACCAGCAAACAAACTCAGCACATTACTGGTGGCGAAGTGATTCAAGTACGATGCAAGCGTGTATATCATGGTACGTCAGCCAACGTGGTTTTTTTTTATTACAACGTAAGTCCTAATTCATTACCACAAGGTGCCCAACCTCTTGGAAAACGGATCACAACTCGCATCATGAGGTCTGATCGCGAATGTGTGGAGGATGTTGACGAGACAATGCTCGAATCGAAAACTGAAGCGGTAATGAACCCATTCACCTTCCGCTATATCCACTTATAATAGCGTTAACTTTGATTGTTTGATCAGGAACCAAGCACTTCAGCCCTCGTTCTCCCAATTGATAAGGTGATTGCGCTGATTGATCTACTGGGCGAAAAAGTGGTGGATGCGCAGGAAGCATACGACCTATTTTCCGAAAGAGATGCTTGTGGACCCCAGCGAATGACGATGCTGGGGCTCACTAAAGCTCTTTTAGAGTTATGGTAAGAAACAATGTCGTACGTTGTCGCATGGTGAAACTTTTGACTTATCCATTCTCTTGTTCTAGTAAAAATGAGTGGACTACAAAATCGTCTCGTGTGCGGGGCAACAGCAGCACGTGCAATGCAAAGATCACCGTCGAGAATACCCGATATTTACTGTCGAGGCTGATCGCAAGCAATAATGTTGCAGTGAAGCGTATCCCAGCAGCTACGACTGTGCCATTCGTCTCGTACACGGATTTCTTAGCCACCTACGTCGCTTTTCTTGCCAGTCTTCACTCTTCGACATGAGAACCACCACTTCACAGATTCTTAAACACAGAAATAAAGTGCCGTTGACTCTAATTCGAGCAGATCTTGACTTACCAATTTAGCGTCCCACCGACGAAACACACAGGTAGACCCCCACAATCCGAGTAATCCCTTCCTCTTTGCACCATGAGTCTGCTCTCTTCGACGGCGAAAGTGCCACCTTCGAGTGAGTATTCGTCCAGTGGAGTCAAAGTCAAGCGAAAGAGTCGACGGCATCGCAAGGTGACACCTCGAGCGCAGGCTCCAGAAGTACCTCAAGTCGATGATGAAGCACCTCGCGAGAGGATTCGCCATAGTCGACGGCTTCGTCGTGAAGTAACAAATGGCGTTGACAACAATACTGAAGTGAAGCGAAACACTAGGCGTCGGTCGAACGGTAAAGGTGGAGCTGGTGCACCGTCACTGGTAGCATCGACGACCAAACGTCGACCAGAACCTCCAAGTGTCTTAGAACCGAATATGGCGAGGCGAGTGTTGAGCTCTTCAGCTTCTGCCATCCGGCCATCCAATCGCAAACGTCTCGATGCTAGTCACGTTGGAGATACTTGTTATCTATTCAATGTCGACAGAGGCAACAACAACGCACCCGAACATGACAATGACGAGTCACAACCGATACAGTTTGGGAAGTGTTCCGATAGTTTCTCTCTTCCTGGGAAGGACTGGCTTACAAGTCCACATTACAACCATGTTGCTGCGCGAGTTACACTGCCGTCTCGTGCTAGTAAGTACAGGAATTTGTCAGCTGGAGTGAACAAAAAACCACGAATTCGCATTCCAGTGAATAAAGAGCTCCCTGATCGCCCTCCTTCGCGACAACGGCATGCGTTCCCTACGCACCTCATTGATGCGAACGCCTTTGACTCTCCCGAGACCACTGCAAGATGTGGACGCGGTTCCGGTACGATCTCAAGGACGTCTAGCGCCAGAAGCAGGGGCAGTCCGACAGATTTCTTTTCGCCGCCTGAAGCCATCACGGATCGTCCACCATCGAGGTACATGGTAAAGACCAAGCGCAATAGCAAACAAGGATTGACACAGGATCTCAATGAAACTTCACGTCGCGGAGTCATCAGTAACCAAACTCACCATGACCCAAAGACTGATGGATTCGCTGACGTGGACGAGAGTGTACCTCCTCCATTCCGAATTAAGGTCACAACGGATACAAGTGATCCAACTCTGGATTCACCAGACACACGCTCACCGTCGTCAATATCTCGGAATATACAACGATGGCCATTTAGTAACCAAGAACAGCTTCTGCATATGGCAGTCAGAGGTTCGGACGGTAGTCGGGGTGACCAGGTGTCAGCTGATCTGGATGCTACCCAAAGTCAACTGAAGTGGTTCGGCAAAGATGACCAGATCAACAATGCTCATCTATTCGAGACAGTCATCTCTCTACCAAGTCCTCGACCTGCAGAACCTGATGTGGACATCGCGATTGAGGACGATCTCGAAGATAGTGAAGGTCCTCAAACTCACAGCCGAAATGTGGTTGACAACCAACAAAAGCTTCAGGTGGAGCCTCAACAGCAAGGTGAAGAACGTTTTCCTTCTAGACGAGCGGCTGCTGCGTCCAAGATGGCTGCACTGAAGGCTGCAGTATCGGTGACGGATAATCCAGAGCTTCAGTGGATCCGGTCAAGTACTAATCCGTTCTTTGTTGACTCTTCATTGACGGTCGATTACGACTCGATGGACCCAGAGACGGCTATCGAGCAGACTCCGCTTTACTCGTCCGAGGACCTCATGACCCTCGCAGCGACTGAGATGACGGACTTGCGCTTAGACGACTACACTGCGCTGGGAGATGCTTCTATGCCCGCCCCTCCGCCGTCGACGTCAGGGATGGATTGGGATAGTTCAAGATTGATACCACCGTCTCGGTCACCTCCACTTCGTACTTCGTTGGGGAAAGACTTCCTCAGTCTCTTTGCACAAAACTAATTTGAATTGATAGTATGTTCCTTGAATTCCTCGTCCTCCTCCACTAAAACTCATACAATTCATAAAAAAAATTCGCTTCGTCATTTAGTTCACATAACGCAAACTGGGTCATGAACTATAAGACTCAATGCGTTGTGTCACTGGCGAGTGATGCGAGCGAATTCGTCGGCTGCAATGTACAGTGCTCCTCAAGAATCCGGTATGACCCATTTCCATGGACAAAATCTGCTATGACATTACGCGCTAAGGTAGAATTTACACTAAAACCCATGGAAAACAACAAATATCTGAATTTGCGAAGTTTGTTCAGCGTTATAAAATCATGCCGTAATTATCACTTCAACTTAAACGCTAAAAAATCACCATTGTGTTGAGTACGTTGACTCTCCTCGATACTTACCACCACAGTTACGCAGTACGGATTGGATCTTCCCAGCCAATCTGGGAATCACTAAAGTCACACTGAGGAAAACAATCCTCTAGTTCTGTACGAACGGTCTGATACGCTGCCTTTATCATATCTAAACCAAGACCATCGTTCATTAGAATAATTCCGTTTCCCTGCGCGACCTTCGCATGCACGAGATTCGGTTGGTCTTCAGCCTTCACTTCCTCGACTTGAAAATCAATTTTAGGCTCAAAAATATCACCGAACCACCCGCCTCTCCAATACCATTGCTTTGTATTAGCAATAAAGCTAGGACTGCCATTGCCGTCACGAGATGCTTTACCTGGGTTTCCATCCAGACCTTTCTGGCCCATCAACCCAGCTCCTTCCCAAACTATTTGGTTTGCTAGCAGTATGCGAATGTTACCGCCTAGCCCACCTGCACCGCCCTGGCCACCATTACCAGCTTGAATTCTTGAAGTCCCAGACTCCGATTCCTTTGCAATTCTTAAATGCGCAATGACAGGTACTCCGCATACTGTTCTATATAGGAGCCCAGTTGGTGCTTCGTTCTCTTCGTACATCACAAGTTGAAGCCCCTCTTCTAAGTCTCTCGGGACTGTAGAATTATCCTTTAGATGATGAAGCTTCGCATTCCGCTCGATCGCTTCCTCGAATGTCGCCTTACTGTATGCCGAGTCTGTACCGTCGACTCCTTCGCCGCCATTCTGCGCGTCTCCACCAGATTGACCACAAGAAACCGTACTTCGAAGAATATGCGAATCATCTTTCAACTTTTGGCACACGGCAGTTAGATTTCCACCACGAAGGCCAGGCTCACCATGAGCTCCATCTTGTCCAGCGACACTATTCAAGCGTTCCGCACACTTTCCTTGTCCAATTGCAGATAAATCAAATTCACGCACAGCTGTCACTCTGATTGACGGACTAACGAGAGCAATATTTGTCCACATCTGGATACCAACGTCAACGTCGAGTGATGCGTGGCCCACGATAATCACATTGGGAATTGCTTCGACTGAGTCGATTGCCACTTCACGCTTCCTCACGAACTTCTCGATTCTCTCAAGCTCGTCAGACAAACGAAGCTGAAACGCACTGATTACCAAGGTGTCGTCCGTCTTTAAAGTTAGACTATACGTTTTCACTGCATTCCTCAGATCCAAAAGCTTCTCTTTCGTTTTTTCCAGCAGACGACGACACTCTTCGTTCAGCCAATCGTATAAATGGCGTCGGGTCTCGCCACCATTCATGGTTTCCACGATGGAAAGCCGGCGCTTTGCACAATAAAATTCTGGGGCGTAATCGTAATCAGATGGAGCAATGCGAGCCAGGATATCCACCATTGTCTTAAGAGTAATGTCCTCGGTGCATTTCAAAGTCTCCAACATGTCGGTTATCTCCTCAAAGGAACCTTTGAGGAGATCCCACTTAAACTTACACAAAAAGCACTTTGATAGCTCTTCTTGAACAAACTGAACACAAGTTTTTGTAAGTGCTTCCAGCAAAAGTTTCGCAGCATCCGGTAATTTTTCATCGTACTCCACCTTATACGAATGAAGACCGCTCAGAGTCTTCAGCATTTCATCTTTCCGCGCACAATACTGTAGCGAGTAGTCGTGGCCATCTTCATCGCTCTGTGCTGGTGCTGGGAGTGCAAACGAACGAATCTCCCGTTTATTTTCTTCGATATTGAGATCAGATGTACTCTCTGGGTCGAAGTCTCTTCCGCACTTCGTGTATACAATGACTGCATTGTCCTTACGAATAAGAGATCCGTTAATCATGTTCTGCAGCATGACAGTCTGGGGTCGCTCATGCAGCGGCGGGGTCACAAGTATAAATTTCACAGGCTTATCAACTTTTAGCATCCACTTGAAAATGAAATGCACCACTAACTCGACAAACGGACCTCGCGTATCTCGATATCCAGGCATATCCCACACAGCAACTACCTCGCCTCCCATAGTGGCATGAGTTACAGTAGGGAGCAGGCTTACGGAGACTTCTCCACTTCGAATATTCACGTCAGGTAGTGGTGGATCGGCAATTAGCGCTCGAGCGTATCGACTTTCGTGACGAACAACAGTTCGGCCCTCGCCAACGAGAAACGATACAATGGTACTCTTGCCAGCACCAGTGGTCCCGAGAACTACAATACTGGGCTCAAGGTCAGCACTGCGATCATTTCCAAACACGGAGTGAGTCAAATAGGCGTCCACTTCATTCAGCAGATCCAAACATTTGTCGACATCTCTAGCGTTCGGAGAACTACATATAGTCCGTGCATCCAAGTGGTGCGACAGTTGCGTAATTTCACTTTCGATGCGCTTACGATCCATGATTCACTTTTTCGGCAGCCAGACAAAACTTCAATAACTTTTTTTTCGCTGAGTGGAGCAACGTGGCGAGTTACATCAGTCATAGGAGAAGGACACGAATTGGTCAAGAACATTCACACCCCCGTTTTCAGCTAGCCGTCCAAAATATGATCTCGCTTACAAGAACTATAGCATAATGTTTGCCTAACCAGCGATGCGAAACTTCCAGAAAGCCGTGATGTCTTTCGTTCCCGGAAAAATCGCAGTACTTATCGAATTCTTTTCCCCATTTCTCGCCGATATTTCCAACCAAGTCATATTTTGAAGGATGGAGAATCTTGATCTGGAAACTTCCATCGGACTTGTTCTATGCTGAGTGTTGGCTCAGTTCGGCTTTTCTGTAGCCACTCCACCCTCCCAGGGAACCCTCTGCTGCCGCGGCTCCGAACTGGCCGGACTCAAAAATTACCTACCTTTTACCAACTAGTAGTACGAACAGGAGCATGACGGATGGGCACGGCATTCACCGGCAGTACAAGAACGTGGCAGTCGAAGAGGAAAAGCGACGTGAAATGCAATATCCAAGATATGCATGGACGCTAAACCATCAAATTAGTGTAGCTTCGCGTTAGTAGCCGTTTTACTGCCAAGTATGTAAATCAATGTAGCGCTGTAGTATACGTATCCGGATCAGTTAATGCATCATTTATCTTTCGAAGTCTATGTATTCATTTATGAAATTTTCCTCCGCAGCTCGAAATCTCGTAAGAATCCATGCAAATGTGACAAAAATAAATGGATTCACTTGATATTTGTAATGCATGAAACTATGAGTTAAAAACACAACACATGGGCATGAATAATCCCAGTTGGGTTGTTCGTTTACTTCGTTTACCAAATCGCTACACAAACAAATGATGGATATCTAAAAGACAGGCTTTAACGATAGATTCCATTAAAATTTTGATGAGTTTTTTTTCGTCTAATGCAGATAGAATCTTGACTTAGAAGTTTAGACACCAAAATAGTACTTTATATAGGGAAAAAGTGCGCATTGGTTTCGGCCCGCTTTTGATTTTTTTTTATTACGGTGAGCCATTAGCTATGAGCCAAGGCAAGAACTTTTTTTTTTCAGAAAAGTGCTCATAGCTTATAGCCCACCGTAATAAAAAAGGTCAAAAGCGGGCCGAAACCAATGCGCACATTTTCCCTATATAAAGTACTTTTTATTCAAACTTCAACAATTAACTTCAGACCAAATTACAAATCTCAAATATATTTGGATCATGGCTACATCATCCTCAATCACAAAACCTTTTTCATCAGATGACGCAGTGGCCGCGGGTCGCTCGACTGGCATCTTCACGACGTGGGGGGAGTGCGAAGCTCAGGTGAAAGGCTTCACTGGCTGCAGATACAAGAAGTTTAAGACCTAGAGCGAGGCGCAGGCGTTCATCGACGCCTACAACGGTGCACAATCAACCCCTAAAGCTAAAAGACCTAAAGAAGAGAGTACCGTGGTTGACGATGAATTGAGACCACCTCTCGACTAAACCCCGATGAGACTCCGACATCTACCGCCTCAACTGCTAATGGTACTCAATTAACCGACAATTCCCAGCCCAGTGGAGGTTGGTGGTACGCTGTGGCCAAAGGGAGGAGGACGGAGGTCTTTCGGACGTGGAAAGAAGCCAAAATACAAGTGGAAAACTTCTTCAGGCCAGTTTCAAGAAATTCCTAACAAAAGAGGAGGCCGAGGCTTTCGTGAACCAACATGCAACCGCTACAAAGAGCCAGGAAGGAGATCCTGACCCAAAAGATCCGACTACTTTTGTGGCTTTCTGTGATGGTAGTGCAATGGAGAACGGACGTCGGAAATGTCGTGCTGGATACGCCTGTATATTCCCACACTGTGAGGAATGGAATGTAGCCAAGACGTTAGTGGAGGCTCGAGCCACGAACAACAGGGCGGAGTATATGGCGGGACTGTAAGCCATGAAGCGTGCCAATTTAGAGGACCCGGAGGGATCGCGCATGTTATTCATCTTCTCAGACAGTATGCTTCTGATCCGATCCATGACGGAATGGATCGGAACGTGGCAAAGTAGAATTGGCTGAAATCTGATGGAACGCCAGTGCAGAATCGCGATCTCCTGGAGTTGTTAGTGAAGGGAAAAAGGTAGTCGTCGTATTCGATGGACACTCGTTAAGGCACACACGGGGAAGCAAGACTGGAGATCCAAGTGGAACGATGTGGCTGATAATGCTGCTCGGAACGCAGCTTTTCAGTGTTGACAATAGTTGAAGTTTTCTCGTATTCACGTTACGGTAAACGTGAATAAAATGCAGCTATTCTGATGCTCAAGCATTGCATTGTGTGGAATGCTATTGTAATAGACTGGATGTGATGCTATTGCTACAACGGTGACAAGGGTAGACACGTTGGGTGGGACGACGGTACCTAACTGCCACTTACTTGTTTTTAACGTGATTGTAGCGCTGCACGTTTGTTGGAAGACGTCTCACATCAGTTCACTGGATTACTGAGCAAATGCGTGCTTGAATTTGATTTCCAACTGTACAATACCAAGATCCGTTCGCTGTACCCACGAGCTCAGTTGATAATTTGCAAGGTTCCAGTGAAGCGATCGAAGGACAAGCGCACTCCAGACTCAAGTGCTACCTTTACAATGAAGCCGTTCGCACTGCTACTGCTGTTGGTGCTCGCGGTTGCCGCTACTGTGCATGGCCTCGAGGTTGCTGCGCCGGGTAAGAGTGTCCGAGAATTAGGGTCAGTGTCTTCTCGTCACTAACACATTTGGTTTAACTTTTTGCCAATGCTTAAAAGTTCACCTCCGCCATTTACAAGGAGATGACCAGCAACCCCAACAGCCTGAGCAACCGGAGCAGCCTGAGCAACCGGAGCAGCCAGAGCAACCAGAGCAACCGGAGCAGCCTGTCGTGCTTCCTGCCGTGCAGCCTGTCACGCAGCCTGGAGGAGGCTATATGACTGGTGACAATACGAACACTATGAGCGGCACCACTGAGTTCAATGGTGGCCGCTGCTTCCCCTGGCCTCGTTGCCGCTTCTGGTGTGTCCCTGGATCTTGGATCTGGCCACGTTGCCGTCCCCGTCCTCCCTGTTACCCTGGTGGGTGGAACTGGCCGCGCTGCCGCTACGTTGTCTAAGGTGAGAATCTTTTAAGTCGCTGGAAAGAAGGTGCCTTACTTAGCCGAAGCTGTTGAGCGGTGGTGAGGACGCTTGCAAGTGAAAGTCAAAGATGAATTAGTGTCGTAATGGAGAGGAATCCAACCAACGGATCCTGAAAAATAAAAATCTTGATGTCCTCAATATTTTCTTCGTTATCATCACTTGCAAATGATATTTAAACTAACAACACGTCTCAAGAGTACTAAACGGATAGGAACGTTATTACATCAGAGGTATTTTCAATGTAGTGAACCTCGACGTTACTTGAAGAGAGCGTGTTCTTGCCTGTTTCCAAAGAATATCTATTCTTGCCTAAATCAGTAGTATTATGAAACTTGATGCCGCCGTTGGGAAGCACGTCATGTGGGACGAAGTATTTTCGACACTTTACTATCAAATGCCGCTGTTCGGACTTCCTTGGAAACACGCCCATGGCTCGTCGCAGATTATCCAAGACCAAGCAACTCTTAAAAAACAATCTTGTACGGGGTTGGCGACCATGTACGTGCTTGCTTCCAACTGTAAAGCAACAAAGAAGAAAGCTTGATGCAAGAGCTCAGTTGGCAATTTGCAAGGTTCCAGTGCAATAACCGAAGGACAAGCTCACCCAAGACTCGAATTGCTCGCCTAACGATGAAGCCGTTTGCACTGTTACTGCTGGTGGCGCTGGCGATTGCCGCTGCTGTTGCCCCAGAAGCCCATGGGCTGGAGGTTGCTACGCAAGGTATGACAGCATCGGTTAGCTAGCGCCTAGAAAACCGTTCCTATATCTCGTCGCTAACACTTTTTTCAATGCCTAGGTGTTCGCCTCCGCCACCTGCAAGGGGATGACCAACAACCTGATCAGCCGCAGCAACCCGAGCAACCGGAGCAGCCAGATCAACCGCAGCCACCGGAACAACCCGAGCAACCGGAACAACCGGAGCAACCTGACCAGCCTGTTGTGCAGCCTGTGGTGCAACCAGTCATACAGCCTGGAATGCCAACTTACACGACCAGCTACAATACTAACCCCACTGGGGCCGAAAACAGTGAGATCGTGGGTGGTCGCTGCTTCCCCGGCTCGTGGAATTGGCCTCGCTGTCGTTTCTGGTGCATGCCTGGATCCTGGATCTGGCCACGTTGCCGCTGGGGCGGTCGTCGCTGTTACCCCGGCTCGTGGAACTGGCCGCGCTGCCGCTATGGATACTAAGTCGGAAATCGCTTCAAGTCGCTGACGAGAAGATAGTTATGTTGTCCCGTCCCCGAGGACGGTGAAGCGGCTTGAAAGTGCCAACCACTTTGAAGTGAAGCAATGTTGTGTCGTATGGAAGGGAAATCCTACTAGTAGTAAGAAGGCGAGCTGTAGTGAAGAAATAGCATGGATCCCGAAAATGAAAGCTTGATGTTCCCCAATTTCGAAGTTTGTGATAACACTCTCGCATACTTTCTGCACCCTTATCCTATCGGTCATGCGGGCCGCAAGATTGCAAGCCTTTTTTTTTTCGATTCTTTGCAGCTCTCAGATCCGACCTTGAAACGACACGCCAACACTCGTCCCAGACTAACTGTCAAGATCAAACGCTGGTTTCTTGAATCTTTTCTACCAGCTCAGTTGTAAATTTGCAAAACTCCGAAGGACAAGTGCTTTCAAGTCGAAAGTGTTCTACTTTTCAATGAAGCCGATTGCGCTGCTACTCTTGGTGTTGTCCATTGCTGCTGCCGGTTTACCAAGTGCGCATGGGGTCGTGGTTGCTGCGCAAGGTAAAAAAAATATCACCGATTTCTTAAGTTGTCTAAAATCTAGCCACTACTCGTACGTTGTTTTCACTTCATCCTATGTAACCTTATATAAATATTGGAGCTCACCTCCGCCACCTGGACGACCAGCAACCGGAGCAATTGGAGCAACCTATCGTGCAGCCTAGCATGTCGCATGACACATCGGTGTCATCCGCGAACATGCGTGGAGGCACTATAACTGCAATTAATACTGATGCTATGGACGACAACACGGACATCTTGATCGTTCGTTGCATCCGCGGTTCGTTGAACTGGCCGAGTTGCTGCGTTCGTGGGTCCCCGTTCTGGCCAGCTTGCCGTTTCCACCGCTGTTTCCCTGGTGTGCCAGACTGGCCGCGTTGCACGCGCTTCCGTAAATAAGTCGGAAGTCACGTGAAATCACTCTGGAGAAAGCAAGTGATTGCGCCCCGCAAGCGCTGATGTTGTCTTGGTGAACAATCCACTCGAGATGGAAGCCAACATGAACTAGTGTGTCGTATGGAGAGAAATCCTACTAGCAGCAAGAAATCCAGATTTAGTGAAGAAGTAGGACGGATCATGAAAACTAAAAGTTCACAGTTTTCGAACCAAATGAGCTTCTCAAAAAAAAAAAAAAAAGAATACTCGAGCGGCCAAACTCATAAAAGGGTACATACTTCTCCTTCATCTTGACACCGCCGGGACCTTATCTTACACCCAAACACAACTCATCGCTTCAAGGATTATTAGAATTAGATGCCACCATAACGCGTCCAGGCTATAATATAGAATTATAATTAATGAAAAAAGTAAGAAAGGGAAAACATTTTGAAAACTGATACCTTTGAGCGTGATTTATGAAGACACAGCGAGTGATCATTACAATGATGAATATATTCAGCTTCTATGCAGTATAATATGCAGCTGAGTGCCTACGAGCTTCTTCTGCGTTACTTCGCCGAAGACGACGTACTGGGTGTGCGAGGTGAACACGGAGTGCCTGGAGCAGCTGTGCTTGACTGGCGGCGCACCCGAATACCCTTTGCATTCTGAATAGGGATCATCATTCTATTCGACCACATATATCCCAACATGTCATTGCCACCCCCATGCACTTATCATCGAACTTTCATGCAGAGCTAAATAGGGACCGCTGAGTTGCAGTCACTGGCGTGGTAGAGGCGCGTTAAGACACCGTAGTGCGGAATAGAAGTTGCAAGCCCGCTGACGTCGCTTGACTTGGGGTCTTCATTACGCCACTCGTTGATTTGCTGGACAGTGTGAGCAATGCTTTGGCAATCGTTGACTACGATAGATTCGTAGACTGGAACCGGAGTAGACACTTGAGTGCCGAACGTACTTCGTTCATAAAGGTAGTGTTGAGTCGGCATAACTGCGGATACAGCTTTTCATAAACTTTACGTGCGAGAGTGGCCGCGATTCTTTGTTCTTTGTGGGGCTTCTTATGCACGATGTAACTGTTGATAATTGCTAGGTCTGTACGAGCAAGTGCTAGGCACTTGTAGTATCTTTTGAACCGTAGTACACGGTGGATAGAGTACCGTTGCAGGCGCAGCTAGTCGTGCACGTCCACGCCTCCCATGAAGGCAGGATATGACAACCTCCAATTAGTTTTTCGCCGTTTCTGACGCGCAACGCGATCCATCTCCAAATCTCCAGTACAACGTAAATGAACGGGACGCGAGTCCCACCAGCTTACAACAATCATATTCGGCACAGGCTTGGACTTTTGCCATTTGATTGATCCACGTTCGAAATCAGCAGGACTGTTTTCTTCTTCTCGACAATGCCTTTGCAGTAGCCTAGCCAATTCGTCATGATCGTTCCGACGTAATAGTATCCCATAAGCAACAACTGAATGGCCAATGCGACCGACGGTTTGAAGCAGTCGACTACAACTAATCGCATACCTTGCGTTCGGGTGGCATAGCCGAAACTTCAAGTAGGTTCCGAACTGCAGCAGTAGGACTGGACTTTATGTTAGGTTGTGAGCGTTACTGGCGTGTTACTTCTTTCTGTAATATATCTCGAGCTGTTCATATGCAAGATAGCATTCCCAAATTAGTAATCATAAACTGCATAATACAACGCAAGGTTATTCAACTGCCAAAAACAAGCATACTGAATACAGTGACTACTCTGTCGGTTCTACTGGTCAGTTCACCATACTAGTAACGTCACAAAATTAAAACAGTAAACACTAGCCCAGTAGGCAGCCTAAACGCAGAATGTCAAATATTCAAGACGAAGTACCAAAAGATAAGCTAATAATTAGAATATTTTGGGGAATCAATTCAAACATTGTATTCTTTTCTGTCGGTTTGACCCAGTTTTACCCTTACAGGATATATCGCATCGCAGGCCGTTGACGCTTGCGAAGCATACATTAACACTCAAAGATCAGTACAAGGCTAACTTAATCATGGTCTACTTGCACTCGCCGCTGGGTCACCGCACTAGTAAACTGGTTGGCAGCGGCAACTTGAGATTACAAACGTTTTCACCTAGAGCCCAGCACCTCTAAAAATACGCGATTTGATCTATTTCGCCGTTGCATTTTGCGGCTGATTCGGCCGGTGAACAACCCACGAGAGTTTGTTAAATGTTCAGCAGTAAAGTGTGATGTACTAGTATGTAGTATGTATTAAAAAAAAAAATATCTGGAAAACTGTGTATTTTTCGGACACGAAAGATACAACGGCTTTCTGTTCGCATTTGCTTGCTAGGTAAACATTTTGGATAAAAAAACTGCTTCCAGTGTAAGTCGCAGATGATATAAACTAGATCATATAGTGCTTTCTACTCAGCACTACCAGCCCAAATCCCCTAGTATTGTACTTAAGTAAATCGGGCTGGAATTGTCAATAAAGTAGCACGTCACCACAGTGCTGCGCAACGAAAATGAGCGTCATGGCAGCGAATGCTACCAATGCGAGGTACCAATTCGAAATTTCTGGGGCAGAACGCGTCTCAGCGGCTGTAAAGGTAAACGGGTCTTCTTGGATCATGGCATAAATTTTTCTGGGGACTTCAACGCGTTCGACCACGAAATCGTCGTTGCTAATTAGGATAATTCCCGATGAGGTCTACGTTCAAACAATCCAGGAATGGCTCAATTGTTAGTTTGTACTACAAAGGTACACATAAAACAAAGCAGAATATGAGCACCTTGCTGGGAAAATATCGAAACACATTGAAGCCCACATCTCCTTTGCTTAATCTGCTCGCACGAAATCAGCGGTTCAATAAACCCAGTTAAGATAACAGTCGTACTTACTACCACGTACTTAATTAAACCGTCGTTTCCGCTTTCGTCATCTTTCACCAAAGAAGGAAGATTTTGCTTCCGAATCCAGTCAGCATTCAGATAGACCCATTTGAGCACGCAATCACTCTCGTTACTAGACCGAAGTATCTGGACCGGATCTCTACTACGAAACGTTATTGTTTGTTAGCAGTTAGCAATTCTCTTTTTGTTATTTTTTTGCTTCGTTCTTTCGATTACGTACCCAGTTCCGATGATCTTGGCCAGCACAAGCACAACGGCTTCATGCACAAACTGTTTAGCGTATTTCATAATCCGAAGTCCAGTGTTATAACTTCGGGTTCTGTAGAGATTAGACTGGCCGCGAAGTCGACGTCGTAGACGCGCATGTAACCAAAAGCGGGCCGACTCGCTTTTGAGCGCGTTGTTAACCTTGTGACATGTTACTCGCGCAATTAGTAAATCCTCAGCTCCCAAAAACTCTGCGATTTCGAACTGCACTTCTTTCGGTAGCTGGAGGAGAGCGCTGTTTTTCTGTGAGCTACAACCAAAAGTTTAACATAGTTATTAGATCGAGGATCAAACCAGTGCTGTGTAATACGTACTATTGTGCTGACCTAGCTGATGCACCTGTAGTCAGGCATTGTTGAGCTTCCGAGGCGAATGCCAATAAAAACTCCACACAAACGTACGCCGCGACCCCAACACAGAGAGCGACAAGCCTGTACTGCGGCGACATAATAGCAAACGATAAATACCAGCCTCCACTCAGCGAGGCAGCAATCCTCCATAGCTGTGTTCGAGTATAGTTCAATACACGCGCGTGAAGAACCATCTCGTAGGTCTATCGAATAAATGAAAGTGAATTCGATTTTGGTTTACGCTCACCAGCACCAGTCGGATGCAGAATACTATAATAATGTATGTACATGTATGCTGATAACGAGTAACAATCCGTAATCTTCATCAACGAAGACATGTTCTTTAGAAAATGGAGTAAACAAGACGATGGTACAACACCAGCGCTGTGCCGGGTAAGTTCAGACCACAGCGAGACTGTAACGTATACATGAAGTGAGTATTCTACATGTAAAATGCCTCCAGCAACCTTTGAGCGTGCTAGCGGTCGCAGTGTAGATGACTCTGACGGTGCATACATATTTGCAGAAGAAGTTTACCACTCAGCAATGTTTTCCGTAATCCAAGATATCAATTCGGATGGGACCGGTGCTTCAGACCGGGGAAACAGCCTCATAAGGGATTTAGAATAGTCGCTATCGGTAGTAGTACATGACACAGCATGGTGTTGAGGTGCAGCAGCGACCAAAATTTGACAGGGACCCGACCAAATTTTAGAAAAACTAATGGACCCGAGTGTAAAAATCACCCCAATTTTTGGCAATCTTTCAGAAGATAACAGAAAAACACTAGTCAATAGAATTTTTTAGGGTGATCCTAGGAAGACATGGTATCATCGCTGTTCTTTGCTAAATGGCCAGTACAATAAGGAAAGGAATGAAGTCTCAATAACGACTCAACAGGAACATTGACATGCGCAGTACTCTCCGCAACACGATAATCTCGATTTCAACACACCAAAATAAACATCACGGTCAGCCTACTATCTCCTTTCTACTGATTCTTATTTTTCATTATTCAAGCATTTAGCTTCGAGTGGCAAATAGGGTCTCTATTTTGTTTACTTGAAACTATAGAGCCCGCTGAGCTGATCCAACATTTACCTTCCCTTCTCAAAGGATGCATGATAATACCTTTGAAACAGTTTGTTGTTCTGTTGGTGCTCGAGTTGTAAACTCCGGGCCCAATTCGTAGATTGAGAACTGGAACGGCGAAATACTGGGGTCAATGCGCCACGCAATAGCTGGACGCGAAGTTCGCATCTTCTCCGATCTGAATTGTTCAATACACAATGAGTCCGCTTTCGTCTCACTAAACACCACTAAACAACTTACGAGACGACTAACGGATACAGGGACGAGGCCAATTCAACTGGGGATATCTCCTTTAGCGTATCCAACTCGTGCGTTAGCGTCGGTTCCTAAAAGAATAGAGATATGAGGCCATTATCTGCAATGTAAAGCACCTTCAATATGGAACTTACACTTGTGCACTCTAATAAATCCCAGACAAACACAGTGCCAGTGGAGAACGATGCATAAAATATGCCAGGACGTGATGTCGACCATGCCACACCACAGACGCTTACGCCAAATGGCACCTCTTCCCACGAAGTGAGGCATAAGGACACATCAGAATGATACAAGCTGCAGAAAGCGCGTTGAATTATGAGAAAAATAAGCACAAAACACAACAAGTCGACTGACGTACCAAATGCTGCCGTCTTCATAGCCCACCAGGAAATAGTGCGACTCAAACGGATGAAAGTCGATACAGACGACTCCAGACGATGCATCTATTGCCTTCAGGTCTTGTTCCCGTTGATACTGCATTCTAGAAGACGCTTTATCAAAGCGATTGCCTCGTACCAGTTGACCTGTACGCGTTCCAACGATGAACCTGCCAGTAATAAAAAGTAGAGTTAGACATATGACACACCTTAAATTAGAGTTGTGATAGAGTACTGGTTAGGGTCTTGAGGAAAGTACTTCAATGCAGCAGCCACAGGGCCAACTTGAGCGGTCAACGGAGTGGAAGAAAGCGGTGCAACACTTGTCTTTGATCCTCTGCGTTGTAAAGGCTTCGGAGCCACGTGTGGTGTCAGATATTGCTGGATATCTATGCGCGTATTCATGACCATTTTCACGTTGCCTCCGATCTGTACGCACTTATCCGTAACCAGTGCTTCGTCCTTGGAATCAAACTCTATCAGGCTCCAGATGATTAAAACTCCGCGGTCATCCATGGAGCCAAACTGGAACGTTCCTCCAGTGTCCGAGCTGTCATTACCTCGATCAATCGCCTCTAACGCCACGATAGTCGACGTGTGTTGCTCCGGTGCACGGTAATTCATACCACACGTTGAATACGCCGGCGTACAAACTGCTTGACCATCTATTAGGCTCGTGGACTGTATCAGAGATTGCGGTCGGAGATCCCAAACGTGAATAGTACCATCTTCCGTCCCAACTACCACAAACAGGTCTCGCGAGGGACTGAAACAAGCGGTGGACGCCACACCTTCACTCTTCAGTATATGGAGGGGTCGATTGGGTAGATTTACGTCCCAAACACAAGAAATAGTCTTGTCCCGGAACACTTGAGCTTCATTGACTCTATGCGCAGGTCCGTAACACGATAGGAGCGTACTGGATACAGCCGGCGAGAACCGAAGAGCTATCAAGTCTCGACCATGTAGATTTCGTTCAAGGGACTCCATCAAGTCGCTGTTCTTGCTTGGGAATACTAGTTTCTTATCTAACTTTGTAGTATTCGTAAGTTGATGACACATACTCTTGTCTTCTTTGCTCTTTAAATTCTCTTCTTGGTTCTCTTTTTCCGACGCCATCACATTCTCCACTGCCAAAGTCTCACAGACATACGCAGCATGTTCCAAGAACTTGAAAAACCGCGAAGTAGACGACCCCCCGTCTTCATTTTCTCCAGTTGAACTCTCCGTATCAATACCGATATCATCAGGAAAGTGCATACTCTTATCGTGTGTTTCAGGTGGTTTGGTCTGTATCGCTAAAGTTCTCGCCCCGTCACTCGTTTGAACGAATGCTTGCCTGACTAGTCCTCTCCTTAGACGATTCAGTACTTTGTCTTGTTCACTCACTGGATTCAACTGGAACAAAGAGAACTTCTCCACTTCAAACTTACGCCTCTCCAGTATCTCCCTCACACGCTTCGCACGAGGATCCAGCGACTGTTTCAAGCCAGCAATCGACGAGGAAATAGACGTCACCGGCCTGGTATCCGGCCTCTCTTCACTACGACTACTAGCTTTACTGCCTGGTCTCGATAGACTTGAAGAAGCTGATTGCAGACCTCTGGTCTCGGCTTGCATGGCTTGTTGGATTCTACGTAGTTCCGCTTCATCTGCGTTCGGGATTCCTCGACTCTTACTCGCCTTAACCCCTACTGCTGGTAACGGGGTCGACTTTGGTTGACTCGGTTCGTCTTCGAAGTCCTCGTCGTAGTTCTCAAAGCCGTCGTCGTCATAGTCATCCGCTTCTTCTTGACATTCCTCTGCATTAGCGTTTAACGCCTCGATCTGTTGTTTCTGACGAGCTTCACGCTGTCTTTGCTCCTCTAACCGCTGAGCTTCCTCGAGTGCCTGTTTCTCCAGTTCTTCTCGACGTTTGGCGTCTTCGATCTCCTTAGCGCGTTGCCTCTTGGCTTCCCTTCGTATCTGCTTCTCACGTTCAGCGTCTTCCTTTTGCTTGGCTGCAGCGGCGTCCACTGCTGAATGTGCATCAGGACCGGAAGGAACCGATGGACCGGGAGGAGTGGACTCTTCACCACCGCGTGACGTTGACGATGTTCGTTTCTTGGACGACTTACGTTTGGTATCAACGTCTGGTTTCGGCTCGGCTAAAGGGATTCGAGGGACGGTGGGTACTGCACCAGCAGGAGGGGCTGATGTTGCTACTGGGGCTTGAGATAGAGGTTGAGATGCTGGAGCAGCGACTGAATGTCTTGAGTTTTTCTTGCTTGATTTCTTAGCTGGAGCACCGTCGCTAGTGGGCGACGGGCGTTTGGGCTCCGACATTGTGTAGATGCTTTAAAGTGGACGAGGAGACGGAGGATCGCCGCGTCCGTTCACGTCTGTCCAAGTTCAGATTATAATGAAGTCAGAGTATTGGTATTGAATGGTTGTGTTGTATTAAAAGTAACAGGTTAGAATTCCTATCTTAGACATAGCAAGAGTACTGCGCGACGAAAATGAGCGTCATGGCACCGAATGCTACTAGTGCGAGGTACCAGTTCGAGATTTCTGGGGCTGTACGCGTTTCAGCAGCTGTAAAAATGAAAGGATCTTGCTGGATCATGGTATAAATCCTCCTAGGAACGGCAACGTGTTCGACCGCGGTAATTCCTAAAGAGGCTTTAGTTACGCAAACTTTATCAGGGACGGTTGTTTCGCAAGTGTTTGAAATATGAATACACGTACTTTGTTTGGGAAAATTTCCCATTTAATGTCGAAACACATGGAACCCCACGTCTCCCGCGTTGAATCTACTTGCAAAAAACATAAACTTAGTCAAGATAAAACAAAAATCAAAGTTGCAGCCACTTACTTTATGGGTGTGTCGTTTTCGCTTCCATCTTGATTCTCCAAAGGAGGGAGGTTTTGCTTCCGTATCCAGTCCGCGTTCAAGTAGACCCACTTCAGTAAGGAATCTCTTTCGCTGCTAGATCGAAGTATCTGGACCGGGTCTCTACTGCGGATCACAACAAACCATGACTACTGTTGTCAACAAGTCATTTGCTTCGAAGGTGTACCTAGTTCCGACGATTTTGGTGAACACAAGTACAATGAATTCATGGAGAAACTGTCAAGTATAGGTGAAAATTCGAAGTCCAGCGTTATAACTCCGCGTTCCGTGAACAAGAGTCGGCTGGTCTCGAACTCGCCGCCGCAGACGCGCATGCAACCAAAAACGAGCCGACTCGCTTTCGAGCGCGTTGTTAACCTTGTGGCATGTTGCTCGCACAACTAACAAGTCTTCAGCTGCCAAGAACTCTACGATCATGAGATGAATGGTGTAAACAGGACGAGGATAAAACACCAGCGTGACTCGGATATTGCAGCGATAACATCTCACTGTAGAATATTCGCTTTTTGGGATGCATATTCCTAAGTGAGCAGCGCAATGCTTACCTACACGGATTCTTTCATATTTTTTTAAGGTGAGAAGAACTACAGTAATAAGAATTTTGACGTCAGCAAAAAGCTAGCGAATGAAGTTGCGATTGCATAGCAAGTGCCGTTAAGATTCGCCATTACTGTTGAACTGTTCGAAAAGCATAACCTGGTAGTATTGCTTCAGTTTATGTGAAAAACGAAGAAAAACAATGCTCTACTATCTTCGAAATTACTTTATCGGCATCATCTGAGTTGCGGAAGCGACATTCGCGTCCTGAATCAAAATTCTCTCGGTAGCTTTGCTATCGCTTGTAAAGAAGGATGCCTAATAAAGACCACACTCTATCTCATTTTCAAGGCGTTCCACAAAAAATCCTTGTCCTTACACACCATTCGAAAATGTGAAGTGTTCAACGAGATAAATATCCAAGAACACGCACGTCATAAAAAAATACACGTAAAATTAAAAAAAAAAAACGCGTTCAGCCTGGTATAGTGCTTGTGTTGGTTTTCGTGGTACTTCTCCATCGCAGATTGGATCTGTTTCCACACGGACGAGCTCTGCGTCATTGGGCTAAAGCGAATGACATCGTCCTATTGGACCTTCAAGACAACACCTACTAAGTGGTCAGGACCCATACTTCAGATCGGTGTGCCGCTATGTTTCATGGCTGAATCCATTGGCGTCACTCGTCTGGTGGAGTGCTTTTCGTCGGTATTTCGGTCCAGTGTAGTTCCAACATGACCACAAACCAGCTTTGGCGACTTCAACTGAATCCAAAGGTGGTCACAATCGTCAAAAAATGGACGCCAAACTCCACGTCAGGCTTTAGTCAGAGCATGGAGAAAATAATATAATATCAATAGCATTGATATTATATTTATTTAATAATTTATTATTGCCTTTTGCTGTTTTCAATACAATGCAAAATAACAGATAATACTATTTTATTGTTTGTCCTCCTACCAACCATTTGAAGCTTACTCCGCCACCATTCATCACCAACGCGCTCGCACGGACGATCGACTCCTAACTCACTTACAAATTCGAACTCCAAGCCAAAACTACCCTCCTCACCCCAACACCTACGATGACATCGCGTCAGCTGTGCTCCTTCTTCTACTCCGATCTCGGTGAAGGACTCTTCCAGTGCAAAAAGTGTGGATGTAAGCGTAAACAAGCCAGCGGCAGTGGCTACAGCAATCTCCTAGGTCACATGGGTGCCAAGCATGCTGGCTACGCGAGCGAGTACGCTGAACTCCAAGCCGCTACCACCACCCCAACCATCGACATGTTCGGGTTTGTGGACGAGATCACCCTCA